AACGCCTCTGAGGACGCCCCAGAAGCGGGACAGCCCCGGCGCGCCTGGGATGCCCCGCCGCCGGCTTCCCCCGAGGCTTTGCAAAGCCATACCCGGCGTATAAGACGACCCCCGATTTTGGGGGGATGTTTTTTAACATCAGAAGTCGTCCTATACACCGGAAAATACGGTATATTTGCTGGAAAACAGAATGACTTGGAAAATGTAACATATTCTGATGTTAGGACAGGCAAGCATTTTCCAAACCAATGTACTGGCTGTCAAACATAAAATGTCTCTAAAGTGGTGGTGGTTCTACTTACCTTTGCATTGTAAACCTTGTCTCAAGAGACCCCAGAGTAATGAACCGCAGTGGTCACAGAAGGTGGGCACTTTGTAATTATGAATGCTGAACTTGTGAGGCATGTTGACACTGAAGCGCTGAGATCCCACTTGCTGAAAAAAGCAAAGCACGATATATTGAAATCCTCTTAGTTACTAATTATTTACTTTTATAGTCAATGTGAATTAGGGCCTTAATATAGCTAGAAAAGTACAAAGGTGAAACAAGATGAAATAGTACATGCTGGTGTAAGCATCCTTTTAAATGGGTTCATTTCCCCTACACAGTGTTCCCCCTCTTGTTTTTATTCTTGATGTTCAAAAGATCACAGATATTTGATGTTGCAAATACTGCATTCTGCTTCTGAGCATTCCTGGAAATAACTGCACAGCTATCAGCAGAGATCTCTTAGTGTGCAAAGCAAGGAAGTCATTCCCAATTGTTTTGAGGGCAAGAGTGGGAAGTGCTAGTGCAGGAGAAAATGAAAGACGTCACAGTCCACTTGCTTTTTTTATATTCCACTGGTCTTTGGATTGGTAAGAAGAGAAAACAAGATATTGTATACTGGGAATCCACAGGACCGTTAGCTGTTGACTGAAAATCATCAATGACAAGTTTAGGGAAACTCACTGCATAGCAGATGATTTATTTTCTATGCTTTTTCTCCCTCTTTCCTATTACTGCTGGTCCTTCCAGTGGTCTAGCACAGCGTCCCTCTAAACAAGAACATCATGTCACAGTGCATCTAAGCTTCCACTAGTCTGGAGCGCAAGAATGTAAATCTGATCAGGAAATCGTATCTCCTTGTGCATAATGTTCACCAAAACACTGGTGCAACAGGGCTGCATCATAATCCTATGCAAGAATCATGTTCTGGAGTGAAAGCATGTCTTCTCTCCAGATCAGTGGACAGAATATTCATTGCAGAGACTAAAGTGTTGTTCTTCTCTGAAATATCATTGCAAAAATGGCATTGGGGAATGCAGGTAGTTACTCTCTCAGGGTTTTTTCGAAAAAACTTCCCCTGAGTCTAGACTTTCGAAAGTAAATCGAAAGAACACGGCAGTTTTTTGACCGCGGAAAGCCTCTTTTACGAGGAATAACGCCTTTTTTCAAAGTGCTTTTGGTGTTATGTAATGCATACTGTGCTTTTTCGAAACAGAGCATCCAGACTGCCTGGGTGCTGTCTTTCAAAAAAGCAGCTTGCTTTTTCAAAAGTACAGGCAGTCCCCGGGTTACGTACAAGATAGGGACTGTAGGTTTGTTCTTAAGTTGAATCTGTATGTAAGTCGGAACTGGCGTCCAGATTCAGCCGCTGCTGAAACTGATCAGTCTGGACACCAGTTCCGACTTACATACAGATTCAACTTAAGAACAAACCTACAGTCCCTATCTTGTACGTAACCCGGGGACTGCCTGTACCTA